GATTTTTTTAACTTTTGTAATATGTGTTTTTTTAAATATTGTACGCCGCCCTGAGTCTTTGGGAGAAGGACGGCATATAGATCCAATTAAAAAAACAAAACAAAAACCAGGGTCTGCCTAGTCCAGCATTCTGTTTCCTGCAAAGCCACTTAAACACGAGAAGCTCTTGTACGCCGATTCTAATCTGAAGTCCACCCACTTTAAAACTGTCTGCTTTGAAAAGCACTGCTTGAGAGCCTGATAGCAGTACAAACAGCTCTTGAAGGTACTTACCAATTGAGCAATAAGTTGAGCTGCTTCTTTTTGGCTGGCCACCGGAAGTAATGTCATTCCGAGTTCCAGAACGACAAATTTCTGCACATCTGGAAAATACTGGTTGCTTATTTGGGTTTTTTCAACTAATACAATCCCTTGAAGATTGCAAGCCTGGAAGAAGTAGGAACAACGAGTAACGGGTATTAATGAGAGGGACAAACAGCCTAGAGCAGTGGTCCTCAGCCTGTGGGTCGGGACCCTTTTGGGGATCGAACGACCCTTTCACTGGGGTCACCTAAGACCATCGGAAAACACATATTTTCACAAAAAATACGGAAAACATAAAATAATTTTATGGTTGGGGGGTCACCACAACATGAGGAACTGTATTAAAGGGTCGCGGCATTAGGAAGGTTGAGACTCACTGGCCTAGTGTAAGTTCATTGGGAGGGTTGGGAAAATAAAAAAAGGTGTGTTTTCTCCATTCTTTCTCCCCTTCACTCCACTTAGCCATGCTGCTTAAAATCACTGGTTAAAGACTATTGTTTCCTCACAGATCAATACGAGAATGATTGAATGGCTGGGCTGACATCATTCAGATCTGTGCATAAAACAACCTTAATATACCATAGGTAACGATAAAGGTTCCCCTCACATATATGTGCTAGTCATTCCCAACTCTAGGGGGCTCATCTCCGTTTCAAAGCCGAAGAGCCAGCGTTGTCCAAAGACGTCTCCGTGGTCAAGTGGACGGCATGACTAAACGCTAAAGGCGCATGGAGCGCTGTTACTTTCCCACCAAAGGTGATTCCTATTTTTCTACTTGCACTTTTATATACTTTCGAACTGCTAGGTTGGCAGAAGCTGGGACAAGTAACGGGAGCTCACTCTGTTACACGGCACTAGGGATTCGAACTGCTGAATTGCCCAACTTTATGATTGACAAGCTTGGTGTCTTAGCCACTTTTTAAATACACAGTAATACACCATACATGGCCATTAATTCCTGATATTTTCCTCCAACAGTCAATTAGATATAGATGAACCAGTTAAAGCTTTCTCTGAGCCGAAGATAAATGCAAAGCCATGCCAGTTACTAAAGCAAAATATATTTTTGTTCTTCAAGCATTTTTAAGATCATTTCCAAAAGGGAACAGCAACAGAAGGAAAACACATCGAATCCTTTGATTAAGGATAAAAAAATAGTTCTTAAAATGGTAGATTTGAGTTGCTGGTATAATTATTGATATCAGTGCATGGTACTAAAGATTAGATTCTCCTTAAATTGTGAAGAATTGATCTAATGTTTTGCTGATATTATGTTCCTGAAAAGGATGATCCAAACGATACTTTCATAGGGTGCTTACATTTCTAAAACGAACAAGTCTTCTTTTGAAGGCATTTCCTGCCACCAGATCTGCTTCAGATAGGTAGAGGATGCAGCATCTGTTCGAAAGATGAAAGTCCACAAGTCCCAGACCATCTTCCAGTATAAGCTTAACTTTACCTTGAGAAGTGAGAAGCAAGGAAACTACAGTAACAACAGAACTACTGTGGGTACACAATTCTCATTTGAGTGAAACTCTGGCTGTGTTTACATATCCTGCCAAGTTTGATTTTAACATATTGTGTAAACCCAACCAATTCCATGTTTAAACAAACCATGCCTGAACCAGTGGTGAGTTTCAAATTTTTTTTGAACCTACTCTGTGGGTGTGGCCTCCTTTGTGGGAGTGGCTTGCCGGCCATGTGACCTGGTGGGAGTGGCTTGCCTGCCATGTATTTTCTCTCTCTCTCTCTCTCTCTTTTCTTCCTTTTGTCTCTCTGTCCCTTTTTCCTTTATCCCTTTCATCTCTCTCTCACACTTTTTCATATATTTTTTCTTTTTTTATTTATTCATTTCTTCCTTTCTTTCTCTTTCTCTCTCTGTGTGTGTGAGTCTGTCTGTCTGTCTGTCTGTGTGTGTGTGTGTGTGTGTGTGAGAGAGAGTGAGAGAGTGGTGGGTTTCAAAATTTTTGGAACCTCTTCTGTAGGTGTGGCCTGCTTTTCGGGTCCACTGGTGGAACCTCTTCTAACCGGTTCATAGATTTGACGAACCAGTTCTACCGAACTGGTGTGAACTGGTAGGAACCCACCTCTGGCCTGAACACACACTGAAAATCAAGCTGTTGCTTTATCTCCAAGTTCTAAATAAATTATTCAGAAGAGAAAGCCAATGGTTTCAAGAGTGATAATTTCCAAGAATGTTTAGCCCTACAAAGTGACAATATGCATTTAAACCAGACTTTAACATCTGGCTTGCCATATTTCATTTATAGTATATAGAGCTGGCATTCAAATTAATGAGAATTTTAAAAAAATCTGATAAAAATAATAAAATACTCCTTGTGATCTAGTGATATCTTCAGATTCTCCTAGCTTAATAAAATGAGACAACTTAATTTTTCTGGCTTTTTAGACAACCTACGCTCCTTTGGGATGTTTAGGAAAGCTATAATTAAGAGCTCCAGACCAGGGGTGGGCTGCTGCCAACGTTGCTGCTGGTTCGCTGCGCGCATGTGCAGTTGACTAAATTGTTCTGCGCATGTGCAGAACATGAAAAGATTACTTAAAAACATGCTGGCAATGACAGTGGCGACTAGGGAACCGGTTCAGGGGCGTGGCCAGCCTGGGTCGCTGCCGGATATGCAACCAAGTCCAAAATACCACTACCGGTTCAGCCGAACTGGTGTGAACCGGTAGCAACCCACCTCTGCTCCAGACCAAACCAAGATATTAAACTCATATTTTGCAATTGATACTTTGATCTGCTGAAAGCCATTCATGGGACTATCCTAGTTCAAGCCCCCCTCCCCACTCAACTATACTGAACACCCAAACACAGGCAATGCATCTGTCAGATTCATTTTGCAAAATAAAAAAAGTGTCCACTGGAGTTGGGCGACCAATATATTTAAATAAATATGTTAGTTTAATTTTCAGATTGTAGGAGGATTTGTTGGTAAGCAAAATTCTATAATTTTACCAAAGAATGATTTACCTTGCATCTCCTGAGCAATTTGGGAACCCTTCCATTTCTCATGGCCAATTACATGGCCCAAAGGAACATTCCCAGCTCCTGCTTGGACTGGGGTGCTATCATTTGCCATTATTAAACTTCATTTGCACTTGTAAGGTTATTTGTCCTGTGCAAGAGAAAAAAACATTAACCTGTTATTCTGAAAATGCCAAAAAAAAGAAAAAAAGATACATTTCTCATTAATCAGGGATTACCTATGAAATCCAGGTGACTTCCAGCTGATGACTTTCCAGAGGGCTTTTTTCCCCAGCCTCTGGGATGGAGGATAGGGGCCCCTGCTGGTTGCATGAAATTTGTTTTATATGCTGATTGGATCCACCATCTGTTTACTGTAGATTTCAGTGTTTATATTGCTTTACATTGTGAGTTGGCTAGAGTCAGCTTGGAATCGGGAGGTGCTGAAACTGACTAAGGCTGGAAACTCATCAAGGAGAGAAGCAACCTAGAACTAAGAAGAAATTTCTTGACAGTGAGAACAATTCATCAGTGGAATGGCTTGCCTCCTAAAAGTTGTGGATGCTCCATCACTGGAGGTCTTCAAGAAGAGACCAGGCAGCCATTGTCCAGAATGATATAGGGTCTCCTATTTGAGCAGGGCGGAGAATAGAATTAGAATAAGAATAGAGCTGGAAGGGAGCCTGGAGGTCTTCTCGTCCAGCCTCCTGGTCAAGCAGGAGACCCTATACCATTTCAGACAAGTGACTGTCCAGTCTCTTCTTTAAAAACTTCAGTGATGGAGCGCCCACAATTTCTGCAGGCAAGCTGTTCCACTGGTCAATTGTCCTCACCGTTAGGAAGTTTCTCCTTAATTCCAGGTTGCTTCTCTCCTTGATTAGTTTCCATCCATTGTTCTTGTCCTGCTCTCTGGTGCTTTGGAAAAATAAATTGAACCCCCTCCTCTTTGTGGGAGCCTCTCAAATGGTTGGATTAGAAGACCTCCAAGGTCCCTTCCAACTCCGTTATTCTGCATTCCTTTCTGTTTTTCTGTTAAATTAGTCAATAGCCCATCTCTATGGACAAAGACCAGTTTAGTGCTATTAATAATTGACACGTATATGTGTGAATCAATGCAAAACATTCTTCTTACCTTATCATTTAAAGATCCTGCACAGCAATCTCTAAGATCCTCCAGCGCCTTAAAACACACGTGCGAACGTGCCCATACACGCAAGCAAACCGAGAGAAGCTCCCATTCATCGCTTAGGCTCTTCCAGCTATTAAAAGTAGTTTCTGCTTCCGCCTTTTCCAAACAGCGCGCGGCAGCCATGACGCACTGCTGCCGCCAGCCAATCAAATCCCTTCTTTTTTCCTTCCCGCCTCTCCCGGAAAAAAATATAGTTCGCAAGGGGCGTGGCGGTTCCTAACGGACGCTGGTTGCTAAGGCGAAGGCAGCCTCAGTAAGGCGGATGCCAATTGGATAAAGCGGAACGACGCAGCCAATCGCCTTGCGGCTAATTGCGGAGTGGTTGCGAGGGGAAGCGTCCTCTTCTTCGGGAGGGGAGGGGAGAGCCGCTCCCTCTGGCCGGCGTGGCCCGTTGTGTCTCCCAGCTTCGTTCTCGTTTGTTTGTTTTTCTTCAGCCTTTTCGCCCTCATGCCGTTTTATTTCAGGAGGGGCCGGAGAGGCCTGTTTGTGAGTATTTCCCTGAGGAAAAGTCGTGGGGGGGGGGAAGCGAGGAGGATGAGCCGGAGGCCCCTGATGGCAAGCGTGGCTCCGGTTCCCATGACAACCAAGTGCCTGGCTTCTCCAGAGCATCGCAGGTTGGATCTGGAAGGAGGGATCCGAAAGGGAAACGGAGCAATGGAACAGCCTGCCTCTTGAAGTTGCGGGGGCTCCGTCGCTAGTAGTTGAATGCTGGACAGTTATTTGTCCAGAATGGTGGGAGGATTTCTGCCCTGGGCAGAGGGATGGACTAGAAGACCTCCAAGGTGCCCTTCCAACCGCTATGATTCAAGGGAGGCAGTCGAGAAAAGTTCCGTTCTTGATTGGCCTGGTTTCACTTCATGAAGCATCTTTCTCCCTCTCTCTCTCTCTATCCTATCTATCTATCTATCTATCTATCTATCTATCTATCTATCTATCTATCTATCTATCTATCTATCTATCTTTCTCTTGCTCTATTGTATCCCCCCCTCTCTCCTATCTATCTATCTATCTATCTATGTATCATCTCTCTCTCTCCTATCTATCTATCTATCTATCTATCTATCTATCTATCTATCTATCTATCTATCTATCTATCTATCTATCTATCTATCTATCTATCTATCTATCTATCNTCCGCGGTCGCTGTTGTCGCTCTGCTGATGACGTCAGTGATGCGGTTTAATCGGGCGCGCTTTAGTGGAGCGCGGTTTTGTCGTGCCACGTTAAAGTTGCCATGTTTGGAGACCCCTGGTTTAAATAAACAACATTTTAAAAAGATAAATAACATCACTCCGGGAGCTCTCACCTCACAATCAAGAGGCTGTGTATCGATCCTAGGTAAGGCAGATATTCCTCTCTTTCTCGGCACAATGAGAATATATCTGCTGAACAAAACTCCGCATTGGCAACATGGAAGGGCATCTGGCCAGTAAACACTCAGCTCCATTCAGTTGCCCAGACTTCACCCTGCAAAAGATTATAGGGTTGTTAAAAGAAGAAGATGATGATTGAAGCCTTCCATGGACGCAACACAGGGTTATCTGGGCAACCAGATTTTGCATTTTCTGGCGTTCCAAATGGAACATGGAATAGGATGGCGGTTTTCAGAATTTCCCGCACTAAATGACAGCATCTCGTCAATGACCAAAAGAAGCCATCCATTTACGTGGCACCCAATGTGTGGTGGGAAGAAATCTCCCAAGGACAACCTTGAAACCAACCCTGGCCCTGGCGACTTTAAGTAACACAGAATGGATCCATCTAAAAAGCAGATTCTGTTTTGCAAGATCTGATGTAACCGGGTATCGTTTTCTACACCTGCCGAGCATTATAGCAAAGATGGAGAGATTTCCTAACAGTGTATGTGTAGAGAAATATGCTAATGTAATCAAGAGTGTGGAAAGAGATCAGCCGGTTTGCTTGCAGACCAAATCCTTAGCGCCTGCCAGGTTTCACTTCAAATCAGTATTTCTTAATCTCAGCAACTTGAAGATGTGTAGACTTCAACTTCCAGGATTCCCCAACCAGCATGCAGATATATAGCTCAGTAATGCTGTTTTTGAGAAGGATATTAATTAGCTTAGTTCACTTTATTGTCATTGGACATGGTACCATGAAATTAAATGCCATCTTCTGTGTACGTTATAACTATAAAAATAAAAACACACACCCTAACCCTATGTAATTGAAATTGGAAACCCAATATTGCACTACACATTCAATATAGCTACTGCCCTGGGTTAGAAGCTGTTTTTCAGCCTATTCGTCCTTGTTTTTTATTATCCTGTACCATCTGCCAGATGGTAATAGTTAAAAAAAAAAAGGGTGCCTAGGATGAGATGGATCTTTAAGAATGTTTTGAACTTTCTTAAGGCAGCGGGAGCTCTAAAGCTCTTCCAAAGAGGGGAGGGGGCAACCCACGATCCTCTGGGCAATGGCATTAACCCTCTGGAGCGCTGTCCTATCTGCCCCTGTGCAATTGGCAAACCATACACAGGTGCAGTAAGTTAAAATACTCTCTATGGTGCAGCGGTAGAAGGTCACCAGCAATTTTTCCTTCAGTTGTTGTTTCCTGAGAAGTCTCAAGTCGTATCATCTCTGCTGGGCCCTTTTGACCAGGGCTGCAGTGTGAGTTGCCCCAGGTCAGGTCCTCTTTTAGGATAACACCCAGGAACTTAAAACTGGCCACTTGCTCCACTTGGTCTCTCTTGATAAGCAAGGATGATGTCTGATCTATTCCTTCTATAGTCCACTGTAAGCTCCTTGGTCTTATTGGTGTTAAGGACTGAGGTTTTTCTTGAGTGCCACTGGAAAGATTTGTAATTTTGTAATTTTAATAGATTTGTATGCCGCCCAATCCCGGAGGACTCCGGGAGGCTTACATAAAAGCAATTAAAATATTAAAAAGATTAAAAACACCAAAACAATACAGTTTAAAACAGGAAAACACAGCATGCACTCAATTATAATGGGGCTGAAGTTCAGTCAAGCTCAACAGCCCCAGGCCTGCCGAAACAGCCAGGTCTTAACAGACTTACGAAGGGCCAGGAGAGTGGGGAGTGTCCGGATCTCAGGTGGTAGCTCGTTCCAAAGGGCCAGGGCAGCAACAGAGAAGGCTCTCCCCTGGGAAGCCACCGGATGGCATTGTGTGGCTGACGGTACCCGGAGAAGGTGGAGACAGTACACGCCCTGTGCGATCTTATTGGACGCTGGGAGGTATGTTGCAGGAGGTGGTCACGGAGATATCCAGATGCATTCCAAAGGGTTAATAAAGGTAATTTAACAATGCCTTAAGTCAGGGGTGTCAAACTCGTGGCATCACGGTGGCGTCACATGACGTATCGGGACTTTTTCCCCCTGCGCTAAACCGGGCGGGGCCAGCACATGACACATCCGGGCTGCGAGTTTGACAGCTGTGCCTTAAGTGAAATTTAGGAGTTTAGGACACTAAAGAACATGCCCAACTGGAAAAGTAATTGCTGCTTGAGGTTTTATTGTCGCCATCTAAAGTTGTAGTCTAATTCACGATAGTTGTCTGTTAAGCTGAAATATAGCTAACAGGGTAGATCTTAACAATGATTGACTACAAATTTAAAGAAAGGAAATCTAAGTCCCTATTGAAACTCAATGAATCCATTACCGGTAGCTGAGAAATTTTTAGAAGAAATTAGAATAGAACAGTGTTTCCCAACCTTGACAACTTTTAAGATAGGTGGACTTCAACTCCCAGAATTGTTGTCTGGGGAATTCTGTAAGTTGGAAGTCCACATATATTAGTTACTACGGTTGAGAAATACAAATGGAATAAAGAAAAATGGGGAAGGCTGGTAGACCAATGCCATTTTATTATTATTTTGGTCTTTTAATGGTTCTACCCAGATGTAAATATATGTTAAAATGATTATTTAAGAATGAGTCCTGACTTATATGTGACAATGAACAACTTTTCACTGCAACTATGAATGAGATAAAAGTTTGATTTTTCTTAACTGTTGTTGTTCAGAATGAAGGTCTGTTTTGTTTTTTGTTTTTTAAAAGGAAGAATGTAATATAGTGGCTGCTTATTCATATTGTGCAATATTCAATCAATGCTGTGGAATTAATCCTAGTGCCTAATAAAATGTAGGTTGGAAGAGGGTTGACATGTTCATTTATATCTCATTATCTGCGATATATATTCCACTTTTGATTTTGGGGGTGGTTCAAAGAAATATACGGTAACCGAATTTGAGTGCTATAGTATGCCATGGTTGGTTAAGCCAAGTTAGATCGATTCGACACTGAAGCAGAAGTAGGCAAACCTTTTGATGCAGGGCACATCATATGGTTGGTGCCCTCACAAAATGCCCGCCCAAATGGGCATAGCAGATCAGAAAATATCAATTCGTAGACAGGATGGACAGCCTCCCAGAATCCTACCATCCCAGTGGGGTCTAAAGGCACTGCTATAAACTGTGTTTTCTGAAATGCTAGCTTCATACTTTTGACTACGGCCCTGGTAGCGCAGTGGTTAAAGTACAGTGTTGCAGGCAAACTCTGCCCACTGCCTGGAGTTTGATCCTGACAGGGCTTGAGGTTGATTCAACCTTCCTTCCTTCCCAGGTTGGCATTATGAGGACCCAGATTGCTGGAGGCAATATGCAAATAATGCCTTGACAATGTAAACCACCAGAAAGTGTTGAAAGTGCCACGAGGCCTAACTGCTGTTGTTATTGGATTATAAGAATTGTGGCGGCGCAGTGGTTAGAATGTAGTATTGCAGTCTAATTCTGCCTACAGTCTGGAGTTTGATCCTGACAGGGCTTGAGGTTGATTCAACCTTCCTTCCTTCCCAGGTTGGCATTATGAGGACCCAGATTGCTGGAGGCAATATGCAAATAATGCCTTGACAATGTAAACCACCAGAAAGTGTTGAAAGTGCCACGAGGCCTAACTGCTGTTGTTATTGGATTATAAGAATTGTGGCGGCGCAGTGGTTAGAATGTAGTATTGCAGGCTAATTCTGTCGACTGCCAGCAGTTCGATCCTGACCGTCTCAAGGTTGATTCAGCCTTCCATCCTTCCAAGGTCGGTAAAATGACCCAGATTGTTAGGGAAAATATTTACAAATACTCTGTAAACCACTTAGGTGTAGAGGATGCTATAATATATGCACACAGGAGAAACATCTCAATGACCAAAAAACTTATCTTCCTTTCTTTGCTTCTCCCAAGTATTACCAAGTGTCGATTTACGTTCTTTTTCTTAAAAAGAAAAAAGAAAAGAAACTTGGACTGAAACCTTGTAAACCTGCAGGGCTACCTTCCGATAAGTAGCAGGGGGAAAATGAGATTAAGAATCTTAACTGCTTTTTTTTAAAAAAATGCGAGATTAAATGACCACATCTGAACTTCCTGGAGAAAGAGCAAGATACCCGAGGGCACTTTTCATTATCTTTCATACAAGACAAGTTTCATACAAGTTTTGCCCTTTTGTTGACTCAGAGGGCATTGAGGGAAAGAATCTCAATCATTTTAGCCAATTCCGCTGTATTTAAGTACAATGACAACAAAGGTTATACTTATACTTTTTAACACTGTGTCTTCCTGCTTGTATCTGCAACATCTCCTCCTTCCATATTGCAGCACCTGCTTTTGAACGGGCCCTGGTTTAAACTTTCTGCCTGCTAGCAAAAGTACCGCATTAACGCGTTTTGCCTTCTCAATCTGCCTGCTGTTAACTGTGGTATCCAGTCATGAAAAAAAAAAAAAGACTTCAGACTTAAGACTTTGGCTTAAAACAGTGGTTCCCAAACTTGGCAACTTTAAGACTTGTGGACTTCAACTCCCAGAGTTCTCCAGCAGAGCTGGCTGGAGAATTCTGGGAGTTGAAGTCCACAAGTCTTAAAGTTGCCAAGTTTGGGAACCACTGGCTTAAAACANACACCCACAGAGTAGGTTCCAACAATTTTTGAAACCCACCACTGGCTTGCGTTGACTGTTTGATTCAGCCTACCCTAGTTAAACCAAAGATGGCTTAGTCCCGTGATGGCATGTGTGACATCTCTAAATTCGGGTGTTTTTTTTTATGACATCGTAAAAACATTGTAAAGGAAATCTTTCCTCCCAGTTCCTTTCCTTCACTGGGTCGTTAACATTTATGTTCTCTCTGGTTTTTATTGAAGGTACGACTCTTTCACAGGCGTCCCCGTTTGCCAGAAGAATTTGTTGCTGGAAAAAGCCAGCATTTTATTTAACATCGGAGCTCTCTACACACAGATCGGTACAAAATGCAATCGTCAAACGGGAGCCGGGCTTCAAAAGGCCATCAGCGCTTTTCAGAAGGCAGCAGGTAAGGAGCGAGAAGTGGGGGGGGGGGGCGTTGTGCTCTCCCCACAGCCCCTCCTTTAAAGAAATGCCTGGAGATTGAATAAGCTTTAATCCTCTTGTTTGCAATTGTGATTTCCTCTGTTCCGGGTCACATGAGCTTAATTTCACACTCTTTGGACATCCAAGGAAGGCAGAATTAACGCCCAAAGAACTGTAAGCAAGAATAGCAAGGAATGTCTGCATCTTTGTGTGAAAACATTCTTTTCAAAACTTGTTATTAACTCCTTCTGCCTCCTCCCTGTCAATTTTATGGAAGGCACTTAAATAGCTAGAGCAAATGTTGTTGGGAATTAATGACTTACATTAGTTCGAAATCCTCAATAATTTTGGGTCATTATTAACTGCTTTCCATTCTTCACAATCCAACCCTCCCCCCCTCCAGCCCCACCCCTGCTATTTGCAGGCATCTGCAAATCTTTTCTGGTCTGGAACACCGTTGTGCAATCTTACACAGTGGCCTCCCTGCCTTTGTGGATTTTCAGAAATATCCGTGTGTGTGCTCAAATTAGACAACCGTCTAACTCGCGGATTGCAAAATAAAGTGGAACGATGAGATTGCTCTTAAACCCCGAGTCACCAGAGGCAGAAAATCCTCGACTTAACAACAGTTCATTTAGTGATTGCTCAAAGTTGCAAAAGCGGCTTTGGCAAAAGCAACTGATAATGTTTTTCACACTTACGCCCCATGGTCACGTGATCAGAATTCAGATGCTGGGGGAAACCAGTTCATCTCTATGATGGTTGCAGTGTCCTGGGGTCCCCCTTTTGCGATCTATTGAGAAACAGAATCAATGGGGAGCCAACCATTTTACTAAACAACTGCAGTGATTCACTTAAAACAGTCTAGTGCTAGTCATCCCCAACTCTAGGGGGCAGTGCTCCTCTCCGTTTCAAAGCCGAAGAGCCAGCACTGTCTGAAGACGTCTCCATGATCATGGGGCCGGCATGACTAAACAGCAAAGGCGCACAGAACACTGTTCCCTTCCCACCAAAGGTGGTCCCTATTTTTCTACTTGCACTTTTACATGCTTTCGAACTGTTAGTTTAGCAGAAGCTGGGACAAGTAACGGGAGCTCACTCCATTATGCGGCACAAGGGATTCAAACCGCCGAACTGCCGACCTTTCGATCAACAAGCTCAGCATATTTTTTACACATCCACTGTGTAAAATGGTTTTGAATGCAGAGTACGCTAGTATCACCACCAGATAAGAATCTTTAATGAAAACAATTACTAATTTTTTGAAGAAGAAAAAAGAGTTTGGAGAAAACATTTCGGCAGGTTTTTTGTGGGGGTGGGGGAGGGAAAGAAGGGATATGGTTGAGAATTCAGTTATCATAAAGGTAATGCAATATCATTCAAACCCTGCCCATAGACCTTTGTGGACAGAAGGAAAGATTGTTGCTAAGATTTTCGCCTATAAACACAACCCTGAGTATACAAACATACAGGAAGGCCTTGTCAAAGACCAGATGGTGAAAGAACAAATATTCTTTTATAGACTCTGACTAATAAAACAAACATTTCTCAAATCCTCAAGAAATGGCAGAATTGGTTGTTATCTGAGGTTTGTTTATGCCTTTTATTCCCCCCATCTAAGATTTTTAAAAACATTTTGTTAAAGGAGTTGTGATCTAAAAAAAACCTGGCACCT